CACACACACACACACATACCCTTAGCAAAGGAGGAACAGGAGGAAACTTCCTTAGTCTGGTAACAGAGTTATCTACCAAAAAACTAATTTACAAGGTAACATCAAACCTAACAGTGTAACACTGAATGCATTCTCTGAAAAGGAGAAAAGAAAGAATGCCTTCTGTCATCAGTTCTTTTAAACCTTCTCCCAAAGGTCCCGAACAGTGCAATAAGGGGAGGAACGTTACAAAGGATTAGAAAGAAATAAAACTACCATTATTCAGTTTGCATAATTACATATGCAGAAAATGTAAAACAATCTACAGTTAAATTCTTAGTCTCAAAAGATACATCATTAGCCTCTACAAGTAAGCTATTAAAATCCAAAGAATCTACAGGTAAGCAGAAGATTGAATAAATAAAACTGGTGTAATCATGTAAAAGAATCATATACTGCAAAAAAATGAACTGCTATGTGCAACAAGGTGAGTGAATCTCACAGAATGTTGTGTGAAAGAACTAGAAAGAATACGTACTGAAGACTTCGATTCATTATTACTGAGTTATTGATTTGCTTTATTATTACTGAAGACTTCAAACAGGCAGATTAATCTATGATGCTAAAGCTTCTCGAAGCTGGTGGACACCAGTCACCTTGAGAGGAAGGAGGCGGGGATTCTGGGAGGATCAGCAAGGAGTTCAGGGGGGTTTCTAGGCTCTGTAATATTCTACTTCGTGATTAGGGTGATAGGTGTGTTCACTTCCTGGTAACTCAGCGAACCATACTCTTGATTTGCACACTTTAATGTACATATGCTACACCTCAATGTTTCAAAAAAAAGTTTGTTGGAATTTTTTCTAATCATATTCCACTGCTTCACACTACTCAGTGGCTCCCCAGAGCCTAAAAGTAAAATCTAAGCTCTTAGCCATAGTCTGTGATACAGCTCCTATCTTTAATTTAATCCTCATTTTATCCCCTACACACACTTTATACTCTAATTTACCAAATTATACGGCCAGTGCATGTTATGCTGTTTCATGCCTTTAGATATTTGATTCCATTTCTTGAAATTCTCTCTTTTTATACTCTACCCACACTCAACACAATTTCTACCCAACTTGGATATTAGCTTCTCCAAAACCCTTCCTATTCCTCTCTCCCAAAGTTAATCACTCCCCTTCCAACACTCAGTATATCTATTATCACACGCACCAAAATATGCATTGGCTATTAATGTCTATGTCAGTCTATTCTCTACTGTACTGTCAACAAATCAAGCACAAGATCTAAATTTTCATATTGCCAATGCCTAGCACAAGGCTTGGCACATGACAGTCACTTAATATATTTCACCATTATGTATATATCCTTACAAATTAAAACAGTAAAACCATCTAGGATGAAGCCTAAGGCTTACACTTCCTCCACAGCTCTTGGCACAGCAGTGAATAGACTACAGGCAAAATGTTCTTCCCAAACCATATGCAAAACACTCTCCAAACCATATGCTCACCTAAGGAAAGGGATATATGTCCTAGTGGAAGTGCAAAAACCATCTTCCTTTTATACATACAGATTTCCGGAGTTTTGAGCTAGAAGAAACCAATAGAGATCACCTAGTCAAAATCTTTAGGAAAGAACTGAAGCCCAGGAAACAGAGAGAGGCTTGCTCAAGGTCGAGGATATAGCAAGAAGGTCCAAGACTAGGACTCAGAGCCCCTGGCTTCTCACTTAGTGCTTTCCCACAATCCATGCAGCCTCCCCTTTGTACCATGTGACTTCTCAATGTACGTGATATGACTGCTTTACTACTTTAGATTTAGATGCCTAGTAGCCTCAATTGCAAGATTTTTCTTAAACATCATTTTTAAATTTGGCTCTAACACATGAATACTAAAAGTACCAACAAGTTCAACCAGGAAAACACCATTTCCAGTTCCAATGTCAAGCACTGAAGCATCCAATGGAATCTTGTGTTTTTGCATCCACCTTATGAGTCGAGCCATACTCTCTTCTCCAAACCTATTAGAAACAGAGAATCAGTTAGTCAAACAACAGAGAGATATAGAACAAAGGTTACAACTATATTCCACTTAAGGAGCTTATTCAGTATGCTCAATTAAGTCTTTTCTGACAGTAAGAAGTAATATATGTAACTGGTTAATCTGCATCCCCACTATTATTTAAGAGAAAACACCCCCAAGAATAGAACAGATAAGGCTAGTATGTTACTTATCAATGTTTAGCTACAACAGCATTGACACTTGTACATGCTGGTGGCTCAAAACTGCACTACTTATTGAAAAAGGACAATTATAGGGTAAGGGTAATTTCCTAATACTGTCAACAAATTTAAATCTGGGCCATTAAAAGAGAAAGATTCTTTAAATCTACCACTAAAGCCAGAATCAGCCCAAGGTTCCCAAGATTGTCAGGCTTTCTCTAGGGTAAGCACTTAAAAGACACACACACTTACACAATCTGCTGGATCATAATCTTACTACTTTTTCTAACTCACCAGATTTCTCCTGTATCCCCACATTCTTGGAAGGTTTGCAGTTCTCTCTCATAGACAGCATCCCAACTATATAAATAATCAAATGCAAAGCAAATTAGTGAATTAAACCATATTATGAATTAAGTGAAATTAAAAACATTAGTGTTGATAAGTTGAGCACATAGCTCAATCTCTTTAACATCCCTGTGTTAAAACAATGAAAGACAATAAATTTATGCATGTAAAGCACTTATAACAATGCCTGACATTTAAAATGCTGTATGTTTTAGCTTAAAAAATACAAAGAAGTATCTGTCCAAGGATGCCTAAGTCCCAAACACAAGTCCAAAACTTGACTATACAGTCGTAGTATCATTACAGCACATTTCAGTCTAAAATATGCAAACATAAGGACTTTCTACCAATTAGGTGGTTACTCATGGAATTCACCAAAGATAAGCTCTCGTTAAAGGGTTAAGTTTTACGTTTAAGACTTACTCCTTTTAGGGACAGTTCTCCCTCACCCATCAATTGCCTTCTCTTCCTATTTCAGCTCTCTAGAAGCTCTGCTCCTCCTCACCCTTTCAAGTTATCTCTCATCCTTACCTTTCCCTAGTCATTCATTCACCCATCTTTTAATCCATTAAATAATTACTGAGCGTCTGCCTTAGGTCAAATCACTTTCTCCTACCCCAAGATGCCCACTATCTCCTTGCTTCCTCCTGAGGCCATCTTCCCACTCCTACCCCTTCCAGCTTCCACGTCTCGGTCCTCATCCCCTTAACCTTTTTTAGCTCCCTGGCCGGACAGGTCTCCTCCGGCCTCCTACTCTTGCCCACCAGCCCTATTGGTCAGCCCTTCCTCTCCCTTTCCCCAAAGATTCAAGCCCCCTAAAAAGCGTTCCCAAGAGCTTTAGAGCCCGTCCCGCAACCCACGAGCCCCTTAGACGTCAACCCCTTGAAATGCCTCTTTACCGCCCCCGGCGTGGTCCTTCGGGATTCCATCCCTACGATCGCCGGGACCCTTTCCCAAGGCGTCCCTTTAGGCTTCCTCTCGTCACGCCCCCTGGGCTTCCTCCATCTTTCGCGACCCCCGGGGCCCCACTCCCACCGTCCCCTCCCACGGGCCCACGTCCCGGGCCACGCCGCCGCCTCCACCCTTCCCCTCG